AATTGATTCATTAGAATTATCTATTTGATTATCTTCATCCTAAAACATTGAATTTCAACACTATTGTATGGTAATAAATTTGATGGCAACAGAAAAAAGAAATTGAACTGAGCTATCACCATTTATTAATGATTCAAGATTCTAAAATTATAGGACTTCATATTTAAAAAGTCGTGTTTCTTTTGAATTCTCGAAATAATGTTAATATAATGGGTATTGAAGTCCAAGTGTTTGGAACAACTGAAATAATTGGTTGTGAATCAATACTATTCTAAAACTATTCCGATTCATTAGAATAAACAAGTAAATGCAATTTCGTACTATTCACAAAAGGATATGAATGTGGATATGTTTTTTTTCTCACCAATATCCATACTCAACTCATACACACTCTACATCCTAATTTCACCCACACTTTCATTTCTTAGATTATTATTTTCATTGAATATTTGATCTATATCAACAGACATGGTTCTATTCTTTTAATTTTAGAGTAAATTGCGTGTTTCTTTTAAACCATATTCATCCGAACTATTTTCAATAGTTCATTTGATATTTGTGGTGTTTCATTTTTTCTTTAGGTGATTGCCACAAACTTAAGCTGTTACATTTAATGAGATGAAACTTATAAGCACCCACACCCCACTTCTATTGCCGGCTTTCTCAGAGGTCACACTTAATGAACGCAAATTTGTTTCTTCAATTTCACTTTTACTTTGAATCATATGTTGTTAATCAAGTCATTTTAATTCTTTAACAGCAAAATTTCGGCTGAATACTTCATAGTCTATAATAAAGTAGAACAAAGGATAAGAGTCAAGTTTTTCGAAATCTTTACCAAAAACATGGAATTTTGAGTATCTGTTATAAAAAAAATTGTTTTTCTATCTCAAAGTTCTTTAGAAATTCAGCTTTAGGTGGATGAAATCTTTTATAACAGTATGTTTTTTTTTCATTCATGGAGATAACTAATTATAACCAAAACAATTTGAATATATCAAGATGAATTTTGAACTATGAGTTGAAACTATTCAACAGTTAAGGATGCCAAAACTGCGAAATGAGAAATTGATCTATTTCTGAAAAAGTTTTGAAAGTCTTCGTTTGAAGTGTATTTTCAATACGAAGTAGTCCTCTTTTGCTTATGATAGCTATCCTTAATACATGATCTATCTTAAATCAACTTTCTATGATTCAAAGAATATATTCTTAAATTTTGATATTTCTAATAATTTCTATAATTGCTCACTCATAATTCATTTTTTATGAAATTCTAATGTTAATAATTTTATCCAACCGAGTTTCAACAAGGAATCAAGACACCACGAAATCCAATATGTTAAATATCAATCTGAACTGTTAGAAATTTCTCCAATTTCAATTTAAACATATAAGAATGATCAAAAAAGCTCTCACCAAGTTTTTAAGTATTAATGAATTTTGATAAATCAATATTTTTTAAATCACTAAACGCTCTTCCATCTGCAATAATAGTATCGACAACTAAAGTATTAAGGTTTTACTATGGATTATTAATAATTCTTCTTGACATAATGGATATTTTGTTTCTAAATGAAAACCATTTAATGCATTGCTCAAAAGTTACTATTGCTTCGTCAGATATTGTTGTTGGTATTGTTGACGACTGAGCAGATGATGTTGAAGGAAGTATAGTAAGACTTTTATTGCCTGATAAAATTGCACAAATATTAATTGTATTAGGGCTAGAGATGCCAGATCTTCCAATATGATAGGAAAACATTAGTTTTGCTTTTTTTCCCGACAAAAGTTCGATTTTCCGGTTTCCATCCATTCATATCTTGAAGAAAGAGACTAAATGATTAAAAACAACTAATGATCGACATAAGCAGATTCAACTTTTTGAGTTATAATGAGCGGTTTTCGATTGAAATCACTTTTAAATCCTTTTCTGAATAAATATGACGAAATCTGACAGAAAAACGGATAGAAAATTTGAAACAATGGAGAAATAGAAAAAGTAACTAAAACATGATTTTGTTTTGTGCATTTTTTAAACTGAACGAAAAAGACGCATAAAAATCGACTACAATTTAGTATTTTTGATCAAAAAATGGCACAAGCAGATGTCTATCTGCTTGAGTAGATGCCAACTACAAAATGATCTATAAAGTGCTTCATATGCATTTCTCTTATTTGACAATAGGTGAAATTGCTTCAATGAGGTTAAATATATAATTTGACAGTAGTATTTGTTTACATTATTTGTATTAAAATACCTTTAATACGTTTCTACAACTAACCGAGACATCAGCCTGTTCAAATGAATCGAAACGGTAGTATTTCAATTTTTTATTAAAGTGCTATCTTTTGATGCACTCTTTAGAATAAAATAATTGACTTTTTGTCTTGCCAGTTATGCACTTGCACAGAAAACATATCAAATATTTTAAATCATAGAAGAAAGTCTTGCTAGTGTTTTTATTTTTTTTTGGACAAATTATGTGTCACATTTTCATATCGGCAAACATTTTTACTAACGAAACCTAGTAAACTTTGTCCTAACACTAATATAAATAGATACGTTTTACATACAGAAGAATGACGAATGATAAACTACCGAAAAAAAAAATAGATTTCAATATCATTTGATGATTATGTTCAGACACAAAAAGCCTATTGAACTTTTTTTAATTTCAATCTCATTTATGAATCTAGTTAGCCATGTAGGAGTCAATTCGTGAGATAATAACGATCTGTGCTTACGCATTCTTTGGTTATCGTGATTAAAAAGGATTAAAAATTAAATGATCAATTAAAATTCATTAAAACAAGAATAATCAATTATAATCGATTAAAACTGATTAAAATCAAAAATAATCGAATAAAAGGCAAGAAGTCTGATTAAAATCGATTAAAATTCAAGGAACCTAATTAAAATCTGATGAAAATCGTCTCATTTTAATCGATTTTTAATCACAAAAAAATCGATTAAAATCTCGTTTTTTCTTGATTTATTTTTGCATGAGCATCTCTCAGGTCTACTAGCAAAGGTATTTGTGCAAGTTTTTTATTATCATTAGAAAAAACAAAACAGAAACGGAGCGCAGCCATTTTCTTACGGAATCTTGTATAGTGATAATCGAATGTTAATATATACTAGCAGTGTCTCTTCTTATTTCTGATCTATTTTTCTTGCAGTTCTGTATTTTGACGATTGACTTGTTGAATTATAATTCACAAAAATTTAAATCTAAAATAATTTTAAATTTATTCCACATAACAGTTTTAATTTAATTTAAATTCATATTGGTAATAATTTTAGTTCAAAAGAAACTTATAGGAAAATGTTACGCCTATCAACAGTTGAAAATGAATCAAATCAAACTCGTAAAAGTCGACTCGATTTGGTCTCTAATGCCAAATCTCAGTTAAGAAGTTTTATTCACATCAATAATTTCGATAAACATCTTTATTAAAATCACCATTGTCATTGTCAATATTTATATTGAGTTTGTCAACATAAATATCTGTTATAGTTCACATTTGCAACATTAACAAAGAAAATTAGAAAGAATTTCTGGAAAAAGTTTTTTTTTTTCGAAAACTAACAGCGTTGGAATGTAAATGCTAGGTAGTCATTTTACAAATTTTCATGATCATATTTTGAAAGAATGTATTTTCTTCAATTTATATTAATACAAGTATGATTTACATGTAAATCGAAATCATTGAATTTTTTCTGTTACTGTGAATTTTGAATATGATATAGTTGATAAATATAGAATTCAACCAGAAGATCATATTATATATTTTTAATTAAAATAGATTGATGTATGCTTTCATTCCTTATTTATTCATTGTTAAATTTTGATAAAGTTTTATTATATTTCTTTTTATTACATGAAAAGAGAAATTTCCATTGTGCTTTTTTTTTTGTTCTCTGGGTTTTGTTAATGAGTCATTGATTGCTGGCTGTTTTGACGTTACGTGGCATGCATGTGCCTTGTCTCGTGGTATAGTACGAATGAAAAGAAAGGAAGAGAAAAAAACCCAACCGCAATTTTTGAATCTACTATCGTATTTAGTTCTATTTACATATGATACAAACATAATTATTGTTGATGACATATAAATAATAATAAGAAATGAAAACATAAATCTAATTGATATCAATTTATTGTTGTTCATTCATATATTTATTTGTTCTTTATCGTAAACATGAGTCATTGTACTGGGTTATTGCATTACCTTGGAATTTTCCTACTTAATGGCTGAAGTAAAATAGAGAATGAATCAAATGATATCTACACTGCGTTTTTCCAATTGTTGAGCAAGAACGAAAAAAGAGAGAATATTATACTCTCTCTCTCTCTCGTCTATATTTATATATAAAAGGATACTATCCTACATATATTTAGTCATAATCGAAAGTACACATACAAACATATATTGTTCGTCTTGCCTCGATTATTTCATCATTCAGCCACGTCATTAGAAAATTACATAAGAAAAAAAAGTAACTAGATTATTTCTTTCGTAAATAAAAATAGTCATAGAAGGAAAAATATCTAACTATTCTCGAATTTTATTTGGTTTATTCCAAGCGTCCTGGATTTTTTTTTTCCTTCGATTTGTTACATACTTTTGATTTTCATTTCATCAAAATAATTTCACATATCACCAGTTTTATTGTTTGTTTTTAGTGACAAATAGAATTTAAATATTTCTATAATTGATCTATTTATTATTTTTAATTATTTTCGTGAAAAACTAAAATTTATCATTCTTTTATTGATTTACGCATATTGTTTTTTTTTTTCGTTTTGTTCTTACTCAGTATTTTTTTTTCTTCTTCCTTTCTTTCCTTGGGATTGCATCGTCAAAGTGAAAATAGTTTTATTCACATTACTCATCATAATATTTTCGTCTTATATATACAGCATTCGTTAAGCATTCATATATTACTTTCAGAATTGCAACAAAACAACTACATATACATACATTCTATTTCATCTTATATGATAAAAGCTATCATGACTGGTTCAACACGTCAATATAATCGTCAACAAAGTGCAACAACAGGTAGTTCAAAAAAGGATAAAACTTATGAATTGCAACTTCGTCGATGGTCATCAACTAATAATCTAAATCCACTTGAATTAATGCCTGTTGATGATAAACTTCAAGAAAACTTATTTTCTAAACGAAAAAATTCAATAAGTGATGAAGATTCTGGTACGGAAGAAATTGAACAACAACTTGAACATATGGTTATAACAAATTTTACTGATAATGAAGATAAATTATCAGTAAAATCTTTTGGTCCTAATCATGATGAAGGTTTTTCCGAATGTGAAGGTCAATCTGAATCAACAGTGTCAATCATTGAAAATGATCGTAAGTTGAGCAATATTCTTTTTTATGCTTTGTCATTATGACTCAGCGAAAATTTGTAATGTCATAATATTAAATGTTGTTTTTTTTTTTTATTATTATTTAGTTCAACTTGCTAAAAATATTCCGGATGATGCAAAAAAAGATTTCTGTTTTGATACAAGTGTATCATTTCATGGTGAATTTGCTCGACTCATTTCAATTCCTTTATCATTATGTCATAAAGTTCGTTATTATCTTTTTGCTGAAGAAGAACTTATTAATGGACCATATGCAAATTTAACTGGTGAATATCTTAAACTTGATAATGCTAAAGCACAATTTAAATGTCCAGATTCAAATTGTCAACATGCATGGACGTCGATGAGAGCTCGAATTTCATTTTCAATTACTTCACCAGAAATTGGATTTATTGTGCTTAAAATTTTTGGACAAAATTGTCAACATTGTGGTACATATACTAATGCTCTTTGGTATATTGGTAAGTTTCTTATTTTTATTATATTCTATAATTAATTTTTTCTTTTGTTATTTTTAGATGAAGTATGTCGAGTAATGAAAAATTTGGCTAGAGCACTTTTTGAAGCTTATTATCCCGATATGATAAACAGTGTCGATTTAGAAACTCGAGAATCAATACAAAACGACAAAAAACAATCTCGTCAATTACGCCATGATCCTGCCCAAAGAAAAGGAAAAATGCTGGCACCACATGCTAAGGAATTTTGTGAAGCATGCCAACGTGGATTATGTTTTGTTTAAAAAGCCAAAACAAACAAAGGACAGATATTAACTTGTATATAAATATGTTGTTTTTAGATCTAAAAAAGTTTTGTTTTTTTTTTTTTATTGTTTGTTTTAAACTATTCATTTATTTCTGTGTGACTAAAATATATACAAATACTATTTGGAAAAAAAAACAGTATATATTCTTCTTTGTCCTTTTTTTTTTTTTTTGTATAAAATTAGTGTATTGTGTTCTTTTCTTTTCAACATGCTTTAGTGACATTTCTAGAAAATCAATTCTGTATGTCGATTAACAAAATATATATATAAATCAAAACTAAAAAGTTATTTTATTTGCGATTATACCAAAATGAAAATTTGAGCTTTTAATTATGTTATGAAAGATATGCTGGGTTTTTGTATATTCATGCGTGTATAAGCAAAAAAGCAAGATATAAATATGAGATTGGTTTTTTTTTTCTTTTTTCTCTATAATTTTGGTATTTGTAATGGAGATATCATAAGAAGAGCAAGTCCGATCATAATTAAAGGTGATACAAAAGAAAAAAGTGCAAGTAATGCAACAACAATACCAGCAGCTGGAATAGGAAGACCAATAAAAAAGTCATGTGTTGGATGAACATTAAATCTTGCTAAACGCCAAGCACCGGCTAAACTAAAAATTGAAAACAAAACAAAATTTTTTTTTGTTTTTCTTTTGAAAACATACGGAAAACTAATAAAAGCAATAATCATTAAAAATGACCAATTTTTAATTGAATGAGCAAGTATTGCTGGTGCAACACCAAATGAAACAACATCAGCTAATGAATCTAATTGTGCACCTATTGCAGATGAAACACGAAGCATTCGAGCTACGCGTCCATCAAAATAATCACATGCAGAAGCAAGAATTATAAATAATGAACCAAAACGATAAAGACCATTCATAGCCATTATTAATGAAAATAGACCACATGTTAAATTAGCTAATGTTAATGCATTTGGTGTACCTCGAATAACTTTTTGAGCATATTCATCAGCTTTTTTTAAATAAATATTAATTGCTGTATTTGTTTCTTGTCTTACGTCATTTGTATTTGACATTTTAATAAATAATATTCGAAATTATCAAATGATTAGATATTGTCTTCAAGTAATTACGTATTCAAATTTTTCTTTTTTTTTTGCGTTTTTCTTAATCAATATGAAAACACAAAAATTGATTTTAAAACAAAAAAAAAAAAAGTTTATATAAAAATCTTAAATTAATTCTAACGGCATCTTTTAAATAAATGATGAGTATTAAGAAGTAAACTTCTTTTCGTACTCTTCGAACGTTTCGATGATTAGAAAAAAAAAAAAACCTATGATCATGATAATTTTGTTTTTCTTAATTTTGCGACGATAGTCATAAGTCATGAGCAATACTAAAAGAATAAAAATCCTCTAAATAAACAAAGTCATATGCTTTGTCAACAAATCAAATGATTCATTCAAAATGATTACTATCATTAGTGTTGTTATTATGTCGATTCTTTAGTTTTTACATAAATATCATAGACAAGATTTATTTTTTAATTAGATGAAAAATTATGAAAAAAAAAAATTCTTTTTGTTTATTTAAAAATCAAATTGACGCTATCGTTTGCATTAGGATAATATAGTAATTTATGCATAAATGACTTCTTTCTACGTCGTTATCGAAAATATTTTTATCGATAAGTAAAGGTAATATTTTAAATTAGTGGAGTATTATATTGGAAGACAAACATAATAATTATTCTATCATAGGAATTATATCAACTAAAATATCCTTCAGTTTTTTTTGTTGGTTGAAAAATATCTTATCAAAATTTAACAATATACTATGTATTTATACTTTACATGTCGTCTAGAAGCCACTCATTAAATGCAACAAAAACAAAAAAACATACCAAGGAAAAATACTATTTTTTGGTTGGAACTTACTAAAACAAACTAGATTTCACTTATAAAACCCTAGCGCCCTCTATAACTTCCTACTTTTAATTAGGATATTTAATTGAAGTTAAACATTTAATTAATATATCAATTCTTTATTTTCATGCTTTGTTGCTTTTTTTATTGTGTTAGGGGTTTAGAAATTATGTGTCATCTAAAAAATCATATCTTCATTTTAGTGTTTTTAATAATGTTTCGAAGTGAAATAATAAAATATGTTGTAAAATTTTCCGTACTTATTTTATTCTATCGTGTAATTTAATGAATAGAAGAATGTAAAGAAAGTGTTGATTTGACTAAAAAAATAGATTTTATCATGTTGACTGTTATATACAAGACTAATGAGAGAAAATATTTATATTTGATGTGTTTATCGAATCAAAATTTTGTTTTTATTTTACTTGCTACAAAACAAAAAGAAATCTAAAGTCAATTTTTTTTATATTCTTTATCTGCAAGTTTATCAAAGTATTGAATTTCAGAGAGATTATACAAGTTTTATTACCTTTTTTTTCCTTACAAAAATATTTCGAATATCCATAGTCATAGACTAATAAAATTGCTCTTTTAATTGTTGAGTTGAATTGAAAATTGAAAGGTATTTCTTCGATCGCATTCTTTACCTATTATATAGAATTATCTTTTCGAGCTCAGTTTTGTTAAATTTTAGTCTACAATACATAAGTTCTTCTGATAGAATGCTCATACGTATATAATACTTTATGGTTGATTATACAGTAATTTGTGTGTCCTACACTGATGATTATGTTGTTTCTTTTTTTTTTTTACACTAGAATGATTGTTTATTTATCTAATGAAACAGAGATGCACGGTCCACGGGGTTCACCCCGCGGGCCCCGCGGGGCCACGTGGCGACGGGCGGGCGGGGAAGAAAAATTTAATTAAATACGGGGTTAACGGGGCACGGGTATTTTCCGGCCCACGGGCGGGCGGGGCGGGGAATAATTTTTTTAAAAAATACGGGTCTCGGGCGGGGCGGGTATGAAAGTCACGGGTTCGGGCGGGTAATCATTTTTTTTCGGGTGTGATGAAGGACCGTCAAAATTTATCAAGAGATGTCGTTAGTGTAGGTATGTAGTACAAAGTACATATTGATTGGTTCATTACTTTCATCCTATTATGTACAAGCTTGTCTACCATTTGCTTCTTTCTTTCTTTATCGTATGTCATACGTAACTTCTACTATCAATTTATATTAAGTGAATAGCTGGACTAAAACTTATTTTATATTTAGAATTATCGTTTGAATTTTTTTGTGAATTACTACTTAGGTCTGACCAAAAGTTCTGACAACATTAAATAAAAATATAAAGATACGGAGGTATCTTTAATTTTATTTTATCAAATTTTGAGGACAGTTGCCATGATTATTAATACCAAGTTTGATCCTTTCCAACGATTGGTTAAAATTTTTTTGAAGCTTTTTCGAAAAAATTTTTAGGTATCATAGATACTGCATGAGCTAATCATATTTCATTTATTGTGAAATGTTAGCAAAACCTTGTTCGATCATGTCAGTTGCATTCTAGTACTGCTCGTGATGAGATAGATTTATTTTAGATAGGTTAGTCATAAGTTATCCGATGCTGGCTGGCTTATTGAAGATGAATCGTCAAAGACTATTGTTCATGAATAAAGATTTTTAAAAATGCTTTGTTTGGTATATTCTTTAAATCAAATACTTCTGAGTGTAGATAAAGGCAAGACTGTAAGTCACAAGTATTATGCTGAAAATTCTCCAAAATCTTTTATTAATGAAATATGGAAACAAACAGAGACATCAGGTTCAAAATGTACAAAATTGCTTGACGGTCATCGTTGACTTCATACTCATCTAATTTTATTAATTGCATGATAGAAGAAGGCATCAGTATAATATCATATCTATCATATTCGCCAGGCCTGATACTATGTAACTTTTCGCTAACTAATTCTACCAAATGTAGTTTAATTGATTATATAAATGAAACATGATAAGCTCATGCGATATCTAAGATATCTAAAATTTTTTTCGAAAAAAACTTTTAAAAAATTGTTTGAAAGAATCGAATTTGGTATAAATAATCATGGCAACTGTCTTCAATATTTGATAAAATAAAATTAAAGATATCGCCTTATTTTTATATTTTTATATAATGTTGCCAGAAATTTTGGTCAGACCTAAGTATGATCGAATTACATGATTTATCTCCTGATGAATCACTTGATAGGACAGCTTCGTCGAATACTAATCATTCATCTACAATTATTTCTTCAGCTCTCAGTCATTGCTTATCGAGTAATATTAAATATAATTTGTTAAATATAAAAATGTTTTTAAAAGAACAACTAGAAAAATACGTGCTTGTCGACAATCATAAAGTGAATCATTCAAAACCATCTTATATAGACTTAAGTTTTGTTTTTGTAAAAACTGATTATTCATAAAAGGAATGCATCATTAAAAATAAAGTATTTGGTAAATAAAAAATTTCTTCGGGTTACACGGGGGCGGGTCGGGGCCCGTCACTAAATTGGCGGGGCGGGCGGGGCGGTCCAAGAAGCTGCCTGTACGGGGTACGGGCGGGGCGGGTATAGATTTGCCGGGGCACAGGCGGGGCGGGGATTCTCATTAAGAAAATCTACGGGGTTCGGGCGGGACGAGTTTGTGAATTCTACGGAGCGGGCCCCGCGGGGCATGAAAAATCAATGCCCCGTGCATCTCTGTAATGAAAGTTGCTAGTGAAAAACATGAAAAATTTATCTACAATAATATATTTATCTTAATAAAAAAAAAATTATAAAATTTGAAATAAGAATAATTTTTATAAAAACTTAAAATTTGTTAAAAAGATTTCTCATGATAATTTTCTTTCTTTGTTTTAAAAATAGTTGATTTCAATAATATCAATACATTCAAAATCAATAGATGACACTAGTTGTCAGTACTATATAAACGACATTATTTGAACAAAAAAAAAGGATATCTATATACTCAAATGGTAACTATATTACCCAATGAAAGTATCGATAGCAACGGCTATTCATTGTCA